GATGTCAAGGCCCGTTTTGAAGTGATGCACCGTTCCGCACGAAAGCGAGTGAACTTGGCGACGGAGAAAGTGAAGACCAGATACAACACGAGAGCTACTGGACATAGATCCAACGAAGGAGACAAGGTGAGGTTGTGGAACCCGATTCGACGAAAAGGAGTCAGGCCTGAATTTACAGTCACCTTGGGATGGTTCCATATACAGTCCTAAACAGGCTGAATGACGTCATGGTTCGGATCCGTGAGTCTTCGAACTCTTACGACAGGTTAGCTCATTACTATGGCCATAGTACGTAATGTAAATAATTGTAAATAGTATCAGACCATGGTCCTTTTTGTTTTATAAATGTATTTATTTTATTTGTATTTGATTTGATTTAGTATTTGATTTTGTATTTAGTATTTGTTTTATTTAGTATTTGATAGCATTTGATTTGTTTAAGTTAGTTATTGCATTTATTGTTTATATTGTTTGATATTGTAATGTAATGTTTATGCCTCAGTTGCATTTATGCCACAGTTGTAAGTTTAGCTTCCTGTCCAGGGATTGTACTGCCCGGGACGTGCAGTCCTTGGGAAGGGGGCAGTGTTACGAATTTGGTATTTAAAAAGCTAATGTTAGTTCAATTATAAATTAAATGGTTTTATTTCTCGCGCAGTGCAGCGCGTGACGAATATTAAAAGAAAGCTAAGCCGGAAAAATTAAAAATACAAGAGCGCGTGCATTAAATAAATAAATATCTCTTTTTGATTTCGAGAAAGTACTGGAAAATTCTAGCGCGTGATTTTAAAATCTTATAAAAGGAGGAAAACATCTCAGTTTGTAGTAGTTGCTTAGTTTGTTGTTGTTTAGAAAACTGCTCTTGTTGATTGTAGCGAATTCGCGGATTAGCGTTCTTTAGCTGTTTTGAATTACGTTCTATTGGACATTTGAGTAGTTAAAAGATAACTACTGTGAGATATTGTAATACTGCATGATAATTTGAGAAAATTTAAGCATTTTTGTTGTGATAATAATAATAAATTTTTGTTCATTTTTCATCGGACTTGTGCATTCATTTCATAACGAACCCGTACGCACGCAACAATTTTTGGTGTCAGAAGTGGGATTTGAATGCCAATAACAAGAGCGATGGAAGAAATTGAGACAGCTCATTACTGCTTTGCTGCTTTCCAAGAAAAGATGGAAGCTGGCCAACATTTAAAGAAGAAATGAAATTGGGCCAGGAATTAAGGAAGAAATATGAATTGGGCCAGGAATCCGTTAAAGGAGAAATGAAATTGGGCCAGGAATCCGTTAAGGAAGAGATGAAATCTCTTAAAAATAAGAGATGAAAGCAGGTCAAGGACGAAATGAAAAGAGAAATTACCTGCGTAATAGAAAATAAATTTGAAGGCTATGGAAGGCAGAATAGACGCGGTTGAAAACTAAAGTTGGACAAATAGAAGAAAGAGTTTCTTCGGTAAAAGAACAAGTAGAAGAAAGAATTTCTTCTGTAAAAGAACATATAGAAGAGAGAGTTTCTGCCGTCGAACAACAAATTGATGATAGGGTTTCTGCTGCCGTCGCCAAAGAAGTTGACAGCCTAAAGAAGTGCATAGCGACGGTAGGAAACAATTCTGAAGGTTTTAAATTTTTATCGATGCCTGCTCGTTCCGTTCTGAAACTATCTACATATGATGGGAAGACCTCCTGGCAGGTGTATAAGGACACAATTTTCTATCGTTGCGGATGCGAATGGATGGGATTCCCAAGCTAAGGCCTGTCATCTCGCCGCTTCTCTTTCTCTGAGAGCAGACGCAGCGGATATCCTTGCAGACTCTTCCCGAAAATCAAAAGGTTAGATTTCGAAGCTCTATCCGGCGCTTGGAGCTGCGCTTTCGGCGAGAAATGTTTAAAAGACTACAGCAGGCTCCAATTAAAATCTCGTCAACAGAAGCTCACCGAAAAAACGCTTCAGGAGCTCGCCGCGGATGTTGAAAGGCTGTCCACATCTCGCCTTTTCGGAAGTGCCCGACAGAAACAAGGGAAATCCTGTCCCTGCAATATTTCATCGATGGCATCCGGGACCCTGAAATACAGAAAGCACTGCGAATGGCGGATGTTAAAGATCTAAAAAGCGCTCTAGTGTGTACGCCATGAAATTCGAGGCAGCCCAGCAAGCAACTCGTAGAGATCGCTACCCAGTTCAGAGCTGTGCGAGTCCATGAGCCAGTGGATCAACTGATGGCTCGTTTAGATGATTTAGCCAGACAAGTCGAATGCTTTGATACGGAGTAGGAGTGAGAACAAAGTGGCTCTAAGATGTTGGAGATGTGGTAGTGAAGGTCACCTAACGACGGCATTGCAGAACACCCCAGGGCACGGATAATAAAACGGATGATTTTGACAAGACCAGTGAATGCTTGAGACGGAATAGTGGTGAAACAGAAACCGACCCTAAAGTGCTGGAACTGCGGTGTTGAAGGCCACCTACGAAGGAACTGCAGAACTCCCCAGAGCACGGAAAATAAGGCATACGATTTAAACAGACAATTAAATGCCACGGAAAGGAAAAGGACTGACAAGAAACCAAAGTGCTGGAACTGTGGAGCTGAAGGCCACATACGAAAGAATTGCAGAACACCCCGAGGTACGGAAAATTGAGACCATTTCCCAGCAACGCACGGTAAACAAATTAGTGACCATATCGAGGAACGGAGGTTGCCAGATAGTGAAAAACCTTGTTTTAAAGCTCTTAAAATTTATACAGTGAGTGGCAACAATAACGGACTGTCCATCAATGGGAATATCGATGGAGTTCCTTGCAGTATGATCATTGACACAGGAGCTAATGTTACCATCATTAGGAAAGATTTAGCTGAACAGTTTAAAGATAAACTTATTTGGACGCCATCCTGTGTTACCCTTCAGACTGCGTCTGGTGACAAGATCGACATAACTGGGAAGTTAAACGTAAACATCACGTTTGGAAGTGCCGCCTACCATCACACACACACGGCATATGTGGCGGATATTACAGATCCATGCATACTCGGATTGGACTTTTTAAGGAAATACAATTTTTCCTTAGACTTGAAAAACAACAAACTGCTTTCAGGATCTGAAGACATGACTATCCATCCTAAGAAGGGATCCTCACCTGGAAATGCCGACGCTTTGTCCGAAAGAACCAGCTCGAGAAACAGCCGAAATCATGCTAGGGTCGAAAAGAAACACCAGACTACCAGCTATTCTCCATCTCAGATGCTCTTCGGTCGAGACCTTCGTCTGCCTTGTGACCGCCTGTTTCATCGCCGTACGGATGCGCCTTCATCGCCTGAGGAACACATCCAAGATGTCAAGGCCCGTTTTGAAGTGATGCACCGTTCCGCACGAAAGCGAGTGAACTTGGCGACGGAGAAAGTGAAGACCAGATACAACACGAGAGCTGCTGGACATAGATCCAACGAAGGAGACAAGGTGTGGTTGTGGAACCCGATTCGACGAAAAGGAGTCAGGCCTGATTTACAGTCACCTTGGGATGGTTCGCACACAATCCTAAACAGGCTAAATGACGTCATGGTTCGGATCCGTGAGTCTTCGAACTCTTACGACAGGTTAGCTCATTACTATGGCCATAGTACGTAATGTAAATAATTGTAAATAGTATCAGACCATGGTCCTTTTTGTTTATAAATGTGTATTTAGTATTTAGTATTTGATTTGCATTTAGATTTATTGTATTAGTATTGTTTTGTATTTGTATTTGATAGCATTTGATTTTTTTAAGTTAGTTATTGCATTTATTGTTTATATTGTTTGATATTGTAATGTAATGTTTATGCCTCAGTTGCATTTATGCCACAGTTGTAAGTTTAGCTTCCTGTCCAGGGATTGTACTGCCCGGGACGTGCAGTCCTTGGGAAGGGGGCAGTGTTACGAATTTGGTATTTAAAAAGCTAATGTTAGTTCAATTATAAATTAAATGGTTTTATTTCTCGCGCAGTGCAGCGCGTGACGAATATTAAAAGAAAGCTAAGCCGGAAAAATTAAAAATACAAGAGCGCGTGCATTAAATAAATAAATATCTCTTTTTGATTTCGAGAAAGTACTGGAAAATTCTAGCGCGTGATTTTAAAATCTTATAAAAGGAGGAAAACATCTCAGTTTGTAGTAGTTGCTTAGTTTGTTGTTGTTTAGAAAACTGCTGTTGTTGATTGTAGCGAATTCGCGGATTAGCGTTCTTTAGCTGTTTTGAATTACGTTCTATTGGACATTTGAGTAGTTAAAAGATAAACTACTGTGAGATATTGTAATACTGCATGATAATTTGAGAAAATTTAAGCATTTTTGTTGTGATAATAATAAATTTTTGTTCATTTTTCATCGGACTTGTGCATTCATTCATAACACAAAACAACTTATTTATATCAATCTTTATTGCATAACTGATTAAATAAAAAAATAATATTAATGCCATTTTTAAGCTTAGTTTTTGAACATTCAATAGAAGGGCGGAGAACTAAATATTCATTAAAAAAACATGAATTCAAAACATTCAGTAAAGAATTTCCTGCGACATAAACACAAAAACTAGAAAATATTTGTTCTTTTTTAAGATTTCTGATAAAATTTTACATCAAGTTCCTGCTTTTCATAAGTGCATTTGTTAGTACTCCTAGTGTTGTAATATAAAAAATTTCAGATTCTGAAATCATAACCAAAAGCATCTCGAATATATGCTAAAAGAATAAGTATGAAGTCCATTTAAGTAATCTTTCTGAAAGATAAGTAAGTCTGTATAGCCATTCAACATCATTATACCCTAAATTTTAGCAATTTTATGCAAAAAAAGTTTATATATTTTCAGTTTATCCTTTTCAACTTCTCATTATTCTTGAGATCAGTTAATGCTAGATGCATATATAGTAATTATCATGTTGTAAAATTGTGAAGTCTAAATTGAATTTTTGTGTGTGTGCATATCAATATTAAGAATAAACTTGTATTTCTTATAGCTGCTCCATGGCCAATGCCTCCACAGGTTCTTGCTACTGGGCCAATGCCTGTGCCCCCTCCTCCAGGAATTGCACCTATTCCTCCTCCACCTCCAGCTATGACTACCATGTATCCTTGGGCTGGGTTTATGGGAGTTCCACCACCACCTCCAATTCAAACTTCTCTTCAGACTCCTACGATTCAAACTACTCTTCAGACTCCTACAATTCAAACTTCTCTTCAGACCCTTGCTGCTCAACCACCTCCACCACCACCACCAGCAAGCTCTGTGCCTTCAACTGGTACTACATCCTCAACAACTCAAAATGTTCAGTTGTCAACTCTAGCTCTTCCATCTCTTCTGACGGCTCCTCCGCCTCCACCACCAAGTTAAAAAAAAAACATCGTTGGTTCAAAGCATGCATGTTATAACTTGCCTCAAGACCACTTTCATATATATTATAGAATTTGCTTCTATATGGTGATGTAAACCAGTTTGTCAGCATTTTCGAATCATCTCAGCACATTTTTTCTTGAATAAATTCTTATTCCTAGAATGTATGCGTGTTCATCTTTTTTTGTGTGCGTGAATATTTTTAATTATTTTTTCTTAGCATTAGATACATGCACAGAAAAACGTGACTTTGTTATGGATTACATGGATGTAAAAATTTTGTTGTAAACAAAATACTCTTCAACTGAATGAGTATTTATTTGTAAGATAATTGTTCAAATGCATAATTTTTAAATAAATTGCCTGAAAGAAATATGCTAAAGTTTAAAAAAGAAAATCATTTGCAGTTTGAAACTAAATATGTGCAAATTTATATTGGTAAAACAAATTCCGAAATGTCTCTGTAGAACATTTTTTGTCAGAAAATAATTCATATTACATTTTAAACATACAAAAAACACAGTTAGCCTCAGTGGATTCTGTGAAATTAATTTTCTGTTCCACTGATGTTTTATAATCTCTTCAATGATCATATTGTAATATATAAAAACAAAGTGATTCTTCTTCTGAGATGACTTTGGTCTTTTATTTTATTCATTTGGTCAGGCTAGGTTATGAAAAATAAGCAAGAGCTATCTTCCTAGCAAGAGTGATGCCTCCGTAATTGATTCTGGTCTTTTATTGGTTTTGCTAGATTATGCAAAGCAAGCAAAGGCTATCTTCCTAAAAGGAAGGATGCCTCTATAAAGGATTTCCTAAGGGAAACTGGCTCATATACATGTTACAAATGGAGAAAATCATGATAACATCCATGTAGCCAACCTGTTTGTTTAGAATCGGAACTACTAGTATTTATAATTGCTTGGCCATAATTTTTTGTGGATTTAGAGACCTTATGTTTGTTTATATTCCCAGAAATGCAAGTCACTTTGAAAAGTGGTTGCCAAGAGAAGGTTTTGTATATATTTTAAATATTGTAATTAAATAAAAAAACTTAAAAATCACATCCTTAAACGTTATACATTTGCAACTAATATTGTTTTAAACAAACAAATTTTCCAAGTTATACAGTCAAAAGTCGTTAATTCGGACACCCATAATCCGGACCTCAAAGCTAAAAACTTTCTGCACATGCACCGCATTGACACATGCACATAGGCATTTACGCGTGCGCGTAAGACCTTTACAACTGCGCATATGCGTGTGCGCAAGCACAGAATACGTTTTCGCGTGCGCGTTTTATGTATAACGGACGGTATAAGCTAAAATTATCTAATTATCTATTTCAGTTAATGTTGATGATTGTGTTGTTGATGATGTTGATAACCTTCGAATCGGATCCGGCTTATTTTTTGCACACTGTAAGAGCAATTTTATAAAAGTAAACTTGAACTTTCGATTATGTCAAATATAATTTCCGATGCTGGAGCTCCCAAAGGATCTACAAAACGAAAGTATGTTTCGATGTCCATGAAACAAAAAGTGGAATTGTGGCAAGAAATGGATGAAGAAGGTGACGGAGAGGTTAGTGAAAACGAAAAAAATTCGATTGACAAGTTAGTCGGTATTCTCGGCACAGCAATTACGGGACTTGAACAGCGGAACTTTGTAACTGAACAAGAAATTTTGTCTGTTTATAGAATTAAAGAGAAAGTATTATCACATAAAATGAAGCAACTTACATTGAAAGAAATGTTTAATAAAGTAAACAAACAAATATTAAGCTTTTTTTTTTTTTTGTAAATTTTGATACCCTTTAGATCATAATTGTTCTTTATTTCATAAATTACGGTTTAATATTTTTAATTTTAGAATTTCTGCATGCCATCTTACGAGATTTAAACTGATGATCTATAATCCGGGAATCGCCGAAGTCCCGATGGGCCCGGATTAACGACTTTTGACTGTATTCACTTTTAAAATGTTCAGTATGAATTATTTTCAGAATGAACAACTTCTCAATCTGTGGCTGCCGTGAGAATGTTTGGCTTTATATATTTTAAGTATTTTAATTAAATTAAAAAAATTAAAAGTTGCATGCTTCAAAGTTATGCGTTTGCAGCTAATGTTGCTTTAAACAAACAAATTTTCCAAGTTATATTCACTTTTAAAATGCTCAGTGTGAGTTATTTTAATAATTAACAACTTCTCAATCTGTAATCCAGCTCATCTAATTATTTCTTCTGACATGTTTTAGTTCATTCACTTCATTTTCTGTATAATTCAGAAATTCAAATGGAAAGAATTAAACAAAACTTACGTTGTTCCTAAAAATGAAGTCTCTGAAAATGAGATCCATTGATCTCTTGTCTCACATGCACTCATTTATACATGGATAACCAATGCTTTTTCTGTCAGATTTGCATCATCGTATTTCAGTGGAATAAATCCTGCATCAGTGCTAACAGAAACAGAATTTTCAAAAAAAGCATGTTAAACTAATCTTCATATGTTTAGCTGTTTCATTACATGAAATCTTGAACATGAGAGCATCTGCTCTCAATAGTAGTAGTTGCTGGCTGTTAGCTCAGCATGAGTTCTGAGTTCTATCTCCGTTTTAGCTTTGCGCTTTAACTGCAATTTGCTTTGTGTTTAACACTTATAGTAGTTTGAAGTGTAACTACTGATTGTACTCAGTGATACTGCGAACAGCTGTGCGAATATTTTTGTGGAACGTTCCAGAACTCTTAAGGGTTTCTTTTGAAAAAATAAATCTTATCAATTTATCATCGGACCTGTATGCATTTAGTTTATTACCAACCCGTACGCACACAACACTTTTTGATGTTGGCATATTGATAAATCTTACCAATCTATCATCGGAGCTGTGTACATTCAATCTATTATTGAACCTGTACACACACAACACTTTTTACGTGTCAGCAGTAGGTAGGAATGCCAGTGACAAGAGCATTTGAGGAGCAACTCTGTCATAGTTGAAAACAGATTTGAAGAAAGAATTTCTGCCGTCCAAGAACAAATGAAGAAAGGGTTTCTGCTGATGTCACCAAAGAAGTTGACACCTTAAAGAAATTCACGACTGCAGGAAGCAATTTTGATAGTTATGAAATTTATGTATGCTTTCTGCAAATTACGTATGCTTTCTCGTCCCTCTCTGAAGCTATCCACGTATGATGGGCAGGCCTTTTGGCAAGTGTATAAGATAAAATTTTCTATAGTGCCTGCTGCAAATGGACAGGATTCCCAAGATAAGGCCTATCATCTCACCACATCTCTGAGAGCAGACGCAGCGGATATCCTTCAAACTTCCCGAAAACTAGATGCTAGACTTTGAAGTTCTATCCAGCGCTTTGGGAAGAAGTGTTAAAAAGATTATAGCAGGCTTCTGTTAAAATCCCATCAACAGAAGCTCACAGATATTGAAAAGGTGTCTATCTGGCCTTTTCATAATGCCTGAAAGAAACAAGAAATCCTGCCTCAGTACTACTTTGTAGATGACATCCGGGATCCTGAAATGCAGAAAGTTCTGCGAATGACGGATTTCAAGGATTTAAATAATGCTCTAGTGTACGCCATGCAATTTGAGGCAACTCGTAGATATGGCCACTCATGTAGAGCTGCTCAAGTTCAGGAGCCAGTGGATCAAATGACTGCTCGTCTAGATGATTTTTAACCAGACAATTCAATGCATTGGTACGGAAAAGGAGTGACAAGAAGCCGTACCTAAAATGCTTGGAACTGTGGTGCTGAAAGCCAAGTCCGAAGGAATTTCAGAAAACCCTAGGGGATGGAAGTTAAGATCGCTCCCAGTAAGAAGGAGGGAAACTAAGTGTTCATCTTGCGGGGCGGAGGTTCCCAAATAATGAGGAACCCCATTTTAAAGTGCTTTTATATTTCTGCCATGAGTGGTGGCAGTAAAGGACTGTTCATCGTGGGGCATAGCAATGGAGTTCCCTGCAATACGACGATAGATACAGGAGCCAACGTTACCATCATCAAAAAAGATTTGGCTCAACAACTGAAAGGTAAACTGACCTTGACGCTGCTGTGTGTCACCTCCCAGACTGTTCAGAGAGAAGACTGATATTGAAGGAAAATAAAACATAAATATCACGTTTCGAAGTGCCGGCCATCACCACATGGCATACGTAGTAAATATTACAGACCGTTGCATACTCGGATTAGACTGTATTACGGAAGTACAATTTTTCCTTCGACTTTAAAAATAACGAACTGCTTTCTGCTTTTGAGGAAACCTATTCGCAGTTAGTGATGAAATAGTTAAATCTATCAAATGAAGACAATATCATATTACCAGCAAGAACAGAAATTTTACTTCCTGAATTCGTAGCAGAATACAGAAATTTCCAGTACGGTGCATTGGAATATTCCAAGAACTGTAACACCCTGTGAGAACTACTAGTAGCTTTGGCACTTGTCGACTTAGCGAAGATAGTTATCTCGGTGAGAGTCACCACAACTAAGGGATGAAGAGAGAAGTGCTGCTGAACATGTCATTCGAGAATTTCAAGATATTTTCTCCCACACATCTGATGTAGGTCGAAACAGTTTGGCTTAGTATAGTACTAATACGGGAGATCATTTGCCAATCAAGCAACATCTAAGATGTCTATCAATTGCTAAACAGGATGACATAGGAAAACATTTAAAGGACATTCAAGAAAGACTTTATAGAGCCTTCAGCAAGCCCTTGGGCCTCTCCCAACGTCCTGGTCAGGAAGAAAGATGGTTCGTTGATGGTTTTGGGTTGAAAATCGCCGGTTTAGCGACATCAGGAAGAAAGTTACTCTCTTTCTCGAATTGATGACATTCTGGATATTTGTTTTGGAAGCAAAAGTAAGCGGCTTTCAATGCTTGATTTAATTAGTGAATATTAGTAGGCAGAAATACACCCTGATGAACAAGAAAAGATGACATTTCACTGCCGAACAACATCTTTGGTAGTTCAAGATGACACCATTTGGATTATGTAATGCTCCAGGAACATTTGAATACCTCGTGGAGACCATCCTAAGATATCTTTCTTATGAAGCCTTTTTTAAATATCTAGATGACATCATCGGTAAGAACATTTAGAAAAATCTTAGGAAGGTGCTTCGGAAATTGAAAGAAGTCAGTCTGAA